TTTCATTCGTTTGAAATTGAACTCTTGGTTGCAAGAAGGGCCTGAGCCCTTCTTGACACAAAAGTGAGTATCGAGAAAAGAGTCCCTTTACACATTACGAAGACAAGAATTTCTTATACCTAGTGAAATTGTTTTAAAACTCTTTAGGATATTTGTAACTTTAATTTTGATCCTTTTCATTTCATTAGTATAATATGAATCACGTAATAAATATATTTTATACGATAATTATTGATTTATACTATATTTATATTATTGATCTTTACTATAATTATTGATTATGGTATCCTCGGGCCTTTCTTGACACAAAAGTGAGTATTGAGAAAAGAGTCTCTAAACATTACGAAGACAAGAATTTCTTATACCTAGCGAAATTGTTTTAAAATTCTTTGGGATATTTATAACTTCAATTTTTATCCTTTTCATTTCATTAGTATAATATGAATTACGTAATAAATTTATTTTATACGATAATTATTGATTTATACTATATTTATATTATTGATCTATACTATAATTATTGATTACAGTATCCTCGGGCCCTTCTTGCATAAAATACAAAAATGTGGTACAAAATGATATTTATTAACATTTTTCTTTATTGTTTATGATTTTTATACAATATTTGAGAATCTGTGCATACTTGATATTAGAAAAATTATTATTTTGTAACATAACGCATTCGTTCTTGTAAGAGATAATTTATTGAACTATTTCACAGTAATCCAGTAAAACATGCTCACAATTTCAAAAAAACTGTTTCCACGTATCGTTTTTTCTAATAGAAGAGAGGTTCACACAGGTTAAATACAAGTTTAACTGTACTTTTTGTCGCGCTTTAAATTTTATTGTCAAAGCATTCGATCGACGCTTAATTTGTTACATTTCAAATAAAGATTAACATCGTGTTTAACGCTCCGATATAATATCGGTTATCTTATTTATTTTACACGCCCTTCGAACACGTCTTCAACCCTTATCACTTCGATCGGCACCCAGTAATGCTACCAAGCCAGTGTTCTACCCCATAAAATGCTTGCATTGATAAAGGTTAATAATACATCTTAGCCTCGACTCGAGTACATGCCGATCAATTTGATCTCTTCCAATAGCTGCATCTGACCTGGTGCGACCTCGAACGTCATTATATCGTACACGAATGAATTCGTTTCGGCACAAAAATAAAAAATTAATAATCATCTTCATTTCTAAACAAACAATGCAAACAAAAAAGGTTACAGTCACCGTTACATCGTTTGCAGATACGTTGCAAACGGTACAACTTTTTTTTCTCTCTTTCCTCTTTTCTAATGTTTACTATTTGCTAGAAAAAACGCTGGCTAGATTGTGTCGATTGTTAGTAACGAACGGCCGAGCATTTTCGATTGGTTCGTTTCTCGTTTCACAAGCTCGTTAGTTCTCTGCAACAGTATAGAACGTTACAACAATTATCCGCGCGTTTTTCTGTAACGTAATTCCGTGGTTCCACCCACTTCCGGCCGGTTACATCACGTCCAGAGGATCGATAATTCGCGGGGGAGGGCCGCGTTGCCCCCGTGGGAGTGCAGATAATTGAAATCCGTCGGAAAATCGTCCGAGTCATCGTGCACGAAGCCGTCACGAGTGGGGTCGTTATTATTAAAATTGACTCGTCGGAGGGGCGGAAAGCGACGCGGTCGAGAAATCGCCGCCAATTCGAAGCGTTTGATCGGATGCCACTCATCCACCACCTGCCATCTTTTTTAACGTGTTCATCGATCGCCGCCGACGCAATTTCGAAAGCGAAACATGGATATCGAGAAAGAGGAACGAAGCTTTGCAGGATGTTAACGCGCCCGCGACCACGATTGCTTCGTATCTGTTTGCTATTTGGTTGGCAACTAAGTAATTGCCGATTTGATCAATAAAATAAAAAATTTTTTTTTACTTGGAACGAAGTTTAATCTGTAATGTATTTTCCATTTTATTCGACGACCTTTTGCCATCTCTCTGACAACTTGAAAATTCCACGCTCGTAGAAAGTCTGATCCTTTTCGGCCAAAAACTGAGTTAAGTGAGATTTTACAGCGTCGTCGTCATTCAAAGTTTTACCACGAAGGGAGTTGTCCAGGGATCGAAATAAGTGGTAATCCGATGGAGCGAGATCAGGGCTATATGGTGGGTGTAACATCAATTCCCAACCAATATCCATCAATTTTTGCCGAGTGGACAAAGACGCGTGCGGCCTAGCATTGTCCTGCTGGAAAATGACACCTTTACGATTGACCAATTCTGGTCGCTTTTCCTTGACCGCTGCATTCAATTTGTCCAGTTGCTAACATTCACGGATAATAAAAAATAACACAATAATAATAATAATAATAATTTTATAATATAACATTTACGGATATCATAAAAATGGGAGTGAGAGACATCTATAACTGAAATCGGCAATTACTTAGTTGCCAACCCAATAGTATAC